TAATAATTTAATAGCACTAATATTAACACTATATAAAAATTTAATGAATGTAATCGTTAGCAAAAATCTAAATATCAGTTTTTACATGGTACATTTTAATGTTGCGATGCCATAGTTCATTAAAAAAACAATTGATTTGTAGAGTTTTATTTTTAATTTATTTAGACAAAATTGTATTGAATTTTAATCTTATTCATTTATCTGTATCAGCCGAAAATGTAAAAAAAATAATAATAAAATGGTGCATCCCTAGATTTGGCAAATTTCATTTATACTTTGTGCTAATTTTTACCCATGCAAATTACGATCAGCACTAATTTTGTCATCTTATTTGGCGTAATAAGAATGTGTTGCTAAAAAAATGTAGACAATAAGCTGATGCTCATAAATTAATTCTGAGTGAATTCACCCCTCAATTGGCTTTGAATCATTTGGGTTTTCACTTGCCCGGTTATTGAGATCCACATAGATGTTTTGTGTGTGGATGTGTGTGTTTTTCAGAGGTTAGTCCTCCACGCAGGGTCTCAGTTGATGCTGTGGGTCTGGAGAACATGACTGTGTGCTGGTGGCCTTCACTGGACGAGGAAGTTGATGAATATTACATCCAGCTCCACCCACAAACAAATCAGGCTCAAACTAGAGAATTCTGGGTAAATGGCTCCACCTGCATCTCTCTTACACAGCTCAAATCAGGTGGGACGTATGAAGTGGGAGTGACTGCAGTGAAGGGCAGAAACATGAGCAAAGTGACAACCATACAACAGACTCTAAGTATGATTCATTTCTGTTTTTATCTTCCATTTCCTCCACGATGCTTCTTTTTCAGTCTGCAAAATGTATTTTCGATTCTTCTTTCAGAACCTGATAGCATTCAGATTGCTGTCCCATACACAGTTGGTACACACTCTGTGGAGCTCTTTGTGCAGATGCCCAGAAACAGCATTTATGACGGCATCACCATTACTTACCAGAATAATCGATCCTGGACGCCAGTGTCCAAAGACAGCACCAAACTGTTAGTCGACAAGCTGAGTCCAGGAACACAGTATGACTTTAATGTGTTTGTGACCAGCAGAGACACGAGCAGTGAAGGCTTTGCTCTGCCACCTGTGAGAACCTGTGAGAAACTTTTACTTTTATTGCTGAAAAAGTACAATACTGGTCAAAAGTCTGAAATATTTTGGAAGGTTTTCGAAAAATGTCTCTTATTCTCACCAAGTCTGCATGTATTTGACCAAAAACACAGTAAAAACAGCAATATTGTGAAATATTATTACAATTTAAAGGTACTATTTTGTAATTTAATATATTTTAAAATGTAATTTATTCCTATGATGCAAAGCTGAATTTTCAGCATTATTACATCATGAAATATTACATCAAAAATATTAAGCAGCACAGCTGTTTTCAACATTGATAATAATAATAAATGTTTATTGAGCACCAAATCAGCATGTTAGAATGATTTTTTTCAGCATTATTACATCATGAAATATTACATCAAAAATATTAAGCAGCACAGCTGTTTTCAACATTGATAATAATAATAAATGTTTATTGAGCACCAAATCAGCATATTCTAATGATTTCTGAAGGATCATATGACACTGAAGACTGGAGTAATAATGCTGAAAATTCAGCATAATTACTCCAGTCTTAAAATAAAATAAATATTCTAATAGAAACCATTTATTTTATTTATTTCATAATGTTACTGTTTTACTGTATTTTTGATCAAATAAATGCAGCCTTGTGAGCATAAGAGATGTCTTTCAAAAACATTAAAACATTCTTATGATTCCAAACCTTTAACCAGTGGTCTATGGTCAATTGAAATATTAGCATACCGATTATTCTATATTGCATTGTCAATTTTTCATTGACTGTATGCTGTATGTTAAAAAAATATATATATAAATAAATAAATAAAAATTAACCCTACATTGTCATATGATCTCATTACATTACTTATTTATTGCAGCAAATTGAGTTCAGATGTAATCTTAAAAAGAAAAATTATTTTGCATTTTAGCCTAATTTTGCACAATGTGCATATTCAAGTATGTTATTCCGAACACAGTCGAACACAGTCCCTGGAACTCAACTAGCTTAATACTGATTTTGTTTGAATTTGTTTATTTATTGACAGGTTTGGCTCCTCCCACTCATGTGCGTGCTGGTGTTGTGACTGACAGCTCTATAGAGCTCCTGTGGGACGGGGCTGAGGGGGGCAACCACCATTATGAGGCGCTGAGTATGAACTGTGCTGATTCTGTCACGGTACGATCCTGTGTGTGAGTACACATCCTGTGTATGATGTCTGTGTTTCTTCTTTTACATACTATAAATGACACCATTTGATGAAAGAAGTACATTTCCTGATCCCATTCCACCATCAATGGGATCACCAACATAATTTTTATGAAACTGAAGTGAAACTGTGCACAGAAGATTTTGAAGTCAATATTTTATGCTGTCCTTAAATAATAGATACTCAAAGAAGGGGAAAATAGTTTGTTTACTAATTTGATGTGTGTGTCTTTGTAGGTGCAGAAGGTAGTCGACACTCGGGCAATTTTTAAAGACGTGATTGCAGGAAAGCTATGCAACTTTTCAGTCCGAGCCGAGAAGGAGTTTTTCAGAGACAGTCTGGCTGTGATTATCGCCATAAGAGCTGGTACACATACTTTCACATAAGCTCAACTACTTATGCTACCATTGAATAGTTTGGGGTCAGTGAGATTGTTTTGTTTTGTTTTGTTTTGTTTCGTTTCGTTTCGTTTTATAAAAATAATACTTTTATTTACAGAGGATCTATTAAATTGATCTAAATTGAAATTAATTAAATTAATTAATTAAATTGAATTAAAAAATTAAAATAGTTCTCCTTCAAATCAATTGTGTCCTTTTGAACTTTCTATTCATCAAAAAATCCTGAAAGGAAAAATATCACCATTTCCACAAAAATATTAAGCATCACTCTTTTAAACATTGATAATATGTTTCTTGAGCAATAAATCAGCATATTAGAATGATTTCTGAAGGCTTGCAAAACTTAAACCAACATTTTTGAACTTCTTGTTTACTTGTTACTGAAATAGACTTACATTTTTGAGGAGCAATTTTTAGTCTATCAGCTTGTGATTAGCACAACTAAAGAAAAATTAATACATTCCTATGGAATTTCTGGAAATGACAGTTTTTTTTGTGTTTCATGACTATAGGAACCTGTTATAACTTTTAAACGATAACTTTGTGATTAATTGCCTTGAGTGTTTTTGTAGCTCCCAGTCAGGTCACCTTGCTGCCAGTGCAGAGGACATCAGTGTCTCTCAGCGTGCGCTGGAGGGCCGGCCGGGGGGTCTGTGACTCATTCATCCTGTCCATCAGAAACTCAACCTTTATCCTGCAGACCAGTCAAAGTGTGTCTGATGACAGGTGCGGATTTAGATCAGTTATCTGCCCTGAAGATTCGTTCTTTATATGAGAGGTTTGAACTGTGGCTTTCTCTCTTTTTAGAACATATCGCTTTGACAACCTGTTGCCTGGAAGTGTGTATACTGTTGAAGTGAGCAGTGTTAGCGGAGACAGGCGAAGTTTACCTGCTGCTGTAAACGCTAACACACGTGAGTGTGACTACACTTATATTGGTACTAAACTTGCTGTCTCACACAAATCCACACATTAGCTCTATTCCAAAACGTAATGCTTTGCTGTAGTGCCTACATAGACAGCTTCCCTCCAAAGCAGCATGCTAGCTGAAATCGAACCTTATAAATGACTTATTTGGAACACTCCTCTGGGGTAGCAACTCCATTAGCATCTACTTATATACACCAAACAAATAGAGGTCTTCATGTTAAGCCAATTCAGTTGAGTTGAATGTTAGCATGCCACTAAACTAACTTGATACTACGGTAAACATAAAAATACATTCAAATATTGAGTAAAATAATCCATTTTAATTTCCCTGATCTGTTTATTAATAATTTTAGCTATTGAATAAAATGTAGACCACTGTTCAAAAGTTTAAATCGTTACAATGTTCTTAAAAGAAGTCTCTTATGCTTGCCAAAGCTGAATTTATTTGATAAAAATACAGCAAAAACTGTAATATTGTAAAATATGATTACAATTTAAAATAACTTATAATTTCCTTCAGAAATTATAAATAATTATTTGTGAAGGATCATGTGACACTGAAGACTGGAGTAATGATGCTGAAAATTCAGCTTTGCATCACAGAAATAAATGATATTTTAAAGTGTATTAAAATAGAAACCATTATTTTATATTCTAATAACATTTTGCAAGATTACTGGGTTTTTCTGTATTTTTGATCAAATAAATGCAGCCTCGATGAGCATAAGAGACTTCTTTAAAAAACATTACAAGTCTTACTGATCCCAAACTTTTGAGCGGTAGTGTATCTCTAGTATATTCTTAATTCCTGTGATGGCAAAGCTGAATTTTCAGCATCATTACTCCAGTCTTTAATAACATTTTTTATTATCAGTGTTGAAAACCGTTGTGCTGCTTAATATTAACAAAACAGCATGTATTTGAAGTATACTGTCACTTTAGATCAATTAAATGCATCCTTGCTGAATAAAAGTATTAATTTAAAAAATCAAAATTTCTCTCATCTGCCATCTTGCATACATTTTTTCCTCTAAGCTTTTTGCAATGCATTCTGGGATTGGGTTCCCTTTGAAGATATGTGCGATGTTGCACTTGAATTGGCCATTAGATAAAGTATAGAGACATGATGATGGACAGTTTTAATTTAGGGCCATGTTAAAGACAAACTTCCTGACATCTTATTTAGTAAATATTATTCTGTGTGATTTTGGAACAGCCTGAGATATGCCTTAAATGCCGTCTCACTAGAATTTGGAACAGAGCTGTAAACACACACATGTTCTCAAAATGGTCTTTTTTGTACTTCAGTTCCAGAACCTCCTGACGACCTCACTTTCATTGAACAGGAAGTGAGCAGCATGTATGTGATGTGGACACACCCACCGGGCAATGTGGATGGTTACAGGGTAGGGTGACTTTTTGTTTATCCAATCAGCATCGAGATCCACATACTGTAGGGATTTGGTCATTGCATATGATAGTGTATTTTAACATTCGATTTTTGCTTGTTTGTTTACTTAGCAATTGAATAGAATTAAATTTAAGCGGTTATGTGGAATGAGTTATTAGAAGTTTGTGTGTATTGTAAGCATGACTAGACTAGTATCAGGGCCTTTGGACACCTGTTAAAACTTTCATACTGACCGTCTCAGCTGAAATGTAGCCTAGCAACACCCCCGTGTGCTCGGGTTTCTGCCTTTCTCATAATACATGAGCGCCAGTCCTTCATTATACCTTACAAACAGAAGGAAGGTATTTGAGTGTATGATGTAAAGATGCTTTTTGTGCAATGCAAAGTCCCCCGGAATAACCTGGGCTAAAGTGACTTTTCCAAGGGCAGTAGTAATGATCTTCCCACTTCCATTGTCACCCTTATTCTAGATTGGCCTTGCCAGCATCTCAGATCTTTATTGACTGATCTATTAACACTGTTTTTTATATTTGTTTGTCATTTTATTTAAAGGGGTCCTATTATGCTCTTTTACAAAGTCTTGATTTTGTTTTGGGGGTGTACTAGAACATGCTCTCATGCTTGGTGGTTCGAAAAACGCATTATTTTTCACATAATTGACATTATTAAAATACCTTTCTCCCCAGCCTATTTTTAATGGTATTCTAATAAGCCGCTTTGTGATATCACAAATCCCGGAAACCAACACTGTAGTCCAAACGAGCCGTTCGTTGTAGTTCTTGAAAAGGGATTTTTAAAAAACGAAATATCTCCCTTTGGAGTGGACTTTGAGATTTGTAACTTTCTAGATCTTTTTTATGCCCAAACATACACACTACACACTGACTAAAATTTAAAAAGTGAAAAAGCATAATAGGACCCCTTTAAACTACTATTCAAAGGTTTGGGGTTTGTACGATTTGTTCATGTTTTTTTAAAAAGCCATCTCTTATGCTCACCAAGGCTGTTCAAAAAATACAGTAAAAACACAAATATTATTACAGTTTAAAATAACTATTTTCTATTTGAATATATTTTAAATATAATTTATTCCTGTGATGCAAAGCTGAATTTTCAGCATCATTACTCCAGTCTTCAGTGTCACATGATCCTTCAGAAATCATTCTAATATGCTGATTTGCTGCTCAAGAATCATTTCTTATTATTATCAGTGTTGAAAACAGTCATGCTGCTTCATATTTTTGTGCAAACCATGATACTTTATTTCAGGATTCTTTGATGAATAGAAAATTCAAAACAGTATTTTTTATACTTTGCTGTCACTTCTGGTCAATTAAATGCATTCTTGCTTATTTTATTTCTATTGCTTTCTTCTCATTCAATCCTCTTTAGCTTCAATATGGCTTTGTGGGTGACCTCCCTCTGCAGCAGCAGGTTGATCTTCATGGCAACAGTGTCAGGATTCATGACCTGACCCCAGGAAGTGATTACAGGTTTGAGATCCAGTCCTTCCTGGGGTCAGATTTCAGCCAGACCACATCCCAAAACATCTCTACTAGTAAGAATCTCCCAGTCGATATTTCTGAAGCAGTGGCCCTTGATTCTGTTCTTAGTGATGCTTTCTACTTTTGGTATCATTAACAAATACAGATAAAACACATATTAACAATTAAGGTCATGCTTGATGTTTTTCTCAACTAATTTTTTATTCCAGGGCCAGCAGGTGTATGTTCACTCTCTGTGTCTCACGTCAATGGGACGTCCGTCACAGTGTCATGGAAACCAGCCACTGGTCATTTTGATTTTTATAGAATGGCGGTCAGTAACATCTCTCATATCTGGACATTAGATGTGAGTCCACACTCGCAGGAGGTCACTGTCAGCAGCCTGTGGAACGGATGCTCCTACAACATCACTGTTCAACGCTTCAGAAACAACATCAGTGGAACCGCCGCCACAATCACCATACGTACAGGTTTGACTGTTACCCACAATACACTTTGCACAACTGAAGGTACTAGTTCCTGTGAAACTGTTTTAAAACCGTTTGTATTGTCAATTAACGCTTGAATTGAACCAAACTGAATTGCACAGAACTGATTCTCATTGCATTGAATTGAACAAAGCCTAACTGAATTTAACTGAACTGAACTGTATTGCACCAAACTGAACCTTAACTGTAAATGAAATTTAAATTCAGTAAATTGAACCAGGATTATTTTAGTATCATTGATATACTATTATAGTTGTGTTAATATCTTTAATTAGATTTTTTATTTATTTAGTTTTCACTTTAATTTTTGTGAAAGTTTACCTATTTTATTGTCTTTTTTAGTTTATTTAGTTTTAGTTGTTTTAAACTAAATGAAAATGAGAAAAAAAGCTGAAATAAAATAAGTTTAAGGGTTTATATATTGTATTTAAAATAACGAAAACACATTTTTTTTTAATAGTTTTAGTTTTAGTTAACGATAATAACACTGAATTGAACTGCAATTGGTTAAGTTTGGTTTGGTTCAACTGCATTGAATTGAACTGAACTAATCTGAGCTGAATCAAATTGAATTGAACCCAACTGAAATGAATCAAATTTAACAGTTAATTAACAATTTTCTAATTACTTTTGCATATTATCAACATTTCATTGTTGATCATTTTTATTTTGTTCTATTCTAACATTTTTACTGTTTAATTTTAATCTGGTTCAGTGTTATTTGCATTGCTTGTATTGTGTGTCACTTGCTTGTTTACACTTGTAAAGCACTTTGAACTGCATTAAATTTGTTTAAAAGGTGCAATATAAATAATGTTTGGTTGAGTGATTGAGTGAAACTGAACCGAACTGAACTAACTTTAATTTGTACTGAACTGAATTACATTTTTAGCAAATGTCTGCCTATAAATTATACTGTATGCATGCATTTGCATGTTTTTTTTATAGTGAAAAACCAAAATCTGTGTGTTTCAGTCCCTGCTAGTCCTGAGGGGTTGCGAGTGATAAGCGTGTCACCTCGTGCTTTCTCACTCCACTGGTTGGCATCACCTGGATGTGATAAGAACTACATGGTCCAACTGCATCCTGACCACGGCAATATCAACATCACCACCACAGCAGACAGCGGAGTGCAGGTACACACTCACACACACACACCCTGAGTCACTGCTCTCCCGCAGCCGTATGCCAGGTGTCAGGTAGAAGAGTATCTGTGTCAGCTGGGCGGAGTGTGTGGAGGAAGGTTGGAGAACAAGGGAGAGAGTGAAAGAGAGAGAGAAGACCATTAATGATAGGTTTAACAGTGGTGGAGGGACTAGTTTGTTTCTGATCACTCACATACCACCGATTAGTTAGCCCGTTTACCCATCCAGCAGCTCTCTCTTTAGTGAGGGGCCATCATGCCATCCTGTCTGCCCCTGCTGGTTATCCTGTACGCGGGCCTCTGTAACATTCAGGTAGGCTTTAATTGCATATTTGCATTGCATGGGTTTTGCATTACATGACATGCATCACACAAGCTTTTTAACCATGGACCAAATGAAATAGTCAAGTTGTGCCATTCACAATTGTATTGAAATTGAATTATTTAGAACTTCAAAAAAATATTTTTTTACAACATCATTTCATATTTAATTTCAATACAATTCTGAATGGCACAACTTGACTGTAGTTGCGCCATTCAGAATTGTATTGAAATTGAATTTGAGATGATGCATGTTTTAAAAAATTATTACATAAAACAATGATTATTGGAGTGCATTTTACAAGAAAATGCTATTTTAGCTATTCTAACCTTAGAATTTCACATTTAATTCACTGTGTTACTTGCCATTTCTTTGTAATTATTTGTGAAATGTACTAGCATTTTTGAGTTGTTTTTTCCAGTGTAACAAACAGAAATGTTTAAAGAAATAAATTAAAATGGATGGTTGTAATCAATCAAATGCCACCTGTAGACTTTTTTGATGTATATTTGATTATATTTACTAAATTGAACTTATGCTAACATAAAAAAGAGACTCATTTCCCAGAATGTAATTTACCCCAAAGTCTTTAAAATGGAGCATTTTATTTTATTATTTTTATTTTTTAAATATTATACTTTGAATTGCAGTTCTGTAAATAAATTCATCTTCCTGTCATTCTTATTGAAATTCCAGTTGAACATCTTCCTGGGTGTTTCAAATTAAATTCAAATGAATTTCAACGACATAAAATGATTTCAAATGAAAATTCCAACTCAGGAACTTAAAGGGTGACAATTTTGTAATTTTCTGCAAGATTTTCTGCAACCCTGCGAGACTGATTTCTTCCCCTAAAACACACAGACTGTGTTCTGTTAGAGACACAGGTGTGAGCTGGTGAGATGGTGAGACGCCACACGACCTTAGAGGAATTTTTGAACTGGCTTGCGTTTCTTAGAATGAAGGAACACGACAATACTGGCACACAAACAAAGACTTGAGTGTGTGATAAATATCACTGTGCATTGACTGGTTTGTGCAGGACTGTGTGTTTGGAAAGCATTGCCATTTGACATTTTATTCTCGGAGGTATTCATTTGTAGGGCATTCATAAACGTTGCCATCACCAATCAAAATTTCTTTTTAAATTTAGATGCTTTATGCTAATTTTGGACATTATTTTCCATTTACCTGTGTGAACTTGACAGTAACTTTCTTTGAGATCTTGGGACCAGCTCGTTAAATTGAAAAATGGTCCAGAAATTTAGTTCTGAGAAAAGCTCTTGGTATTTGTCTCGGTATAAACTTGGTTTATATGGTTGATATTTTGCAGTGAAATTCATAGAAGTATGGCTTATGCATATATACCGGTTATGTAATGCATGTATGCATGAATTAGGTTTTTCAGTCTTATTTTGTTTTACTGGTGTTGTCAGGCTATTTTATACTCAGATCAGAAAAGACTTGTCTTTCTGGAACAAGTGGTGTGACATCACGTACGGTAATTTAGCCTGCCGCTGTTGCATTGCTCAACCAACCTTGTGTTTGTGAACATGTGACAGAAAACGTCAAGAGATGCTTTTGTTCTATGATATTTATGAACAAATGATTTCTGATGAAACTATTGCCAATACTCCATATCATTTGAAGTGCATGCTAACTCCAGAAGATTTGTTTGCAAAAAGTGTGTCTGTGGGAGTATCTGAGGTGCTTGTATTATTAGTGGTATCTAGATGTTTTTGAAGGCAGTTTGATGCATGATGGTATTTTGAGGGAATATTGCGACGTGTTTGATTAATGTGAGTCATTGTCTTCAGTCAGGCATAGCCCGTGCTATTTGAATCACATTCATATATTTGATCACATTCAATTTGTGGTTTGCTGATTATCTTGTGCTGACGTTTTGATTTTACCTGAGGGTTAGTGTAGCGTATATTATGCTTTGGTCTTCTCAGAAGGGACATGACTTAGCAAGCTTTGTCATGCACTGAAAATGAGCCTTTACTGACTATATTTGAAAAATTCTACTCCATTCAATAACAATAACTAAGTCAAAATAAGCTTTTTAAAATTATTTCTTGAAAACAACTATTTTTTTTAAAACCCTGAACTTTAAGGTGCAAAACAACACCTTCAACAAAACACATAACAACAAAACATAAGATTTTATCATTATACAAGTCAATTGCATATTTGTTTGGCATGGGCTTTGTGTTACATGACATGCATATAAATACAAATACCAAATGAAATACTTAAGATTAGCAGAGTTGTGTGCCATTTAGAATTGCTTTTAGAGTTAAAATGGAATATTGTAATCAATGTTTGAGATGCCACCTATTAATTTTTTATAGATTTAATATATCCTATCATAAAAGTTTATTGTAAATATTTATTAACATTTGTACATTATTGCTAATCAGACTTGACTTTTTTTCAACTTTTTTTCGCAAATAAAGCATTAACACCAATGAATCTTCTAAGATGTTGTCATTATCACCTCAAAATGTGACAGATTTAAATATTTAACAAAAAAATAAAGTGCAAACCAATACAGTGCCATTTCCTATGATCTAATATATGTGACCCTGGAGCACAAAACCAGCCTCAAGTCGCTTGGGTATATTTGTAGCAATAGCCCAAATAACATTGTATGGGTCAAAATGATCGATTTTTTTTTATGCCAAAAATCATTAGGATATGAAGTAAAGATCATGTTCCATGAAGATATTTTGTAAATTTCCTACCGTAAATATATCAAAACTTAATTTTTGATTAGTAATATGCATTGCTAAGGACTTCATTTGGACAACTTTAAAGGCGATTTTCTCAATATTTAGATTTTTTTGCACCGTCAGATTCCAGATTTTCAAAATAGTTGTATCTCGGCCAAATATTGTCCTATCTTAACAAACCATACATCAATGGAAAGCTTATTTATTCAGCTTTATAAATCTCAATTTCAAAAAATTGACCCTTATGACTGGTTTTGTGGTCCAGGGTCACATATAAAGTTGTTATAGAAAAATTTATGGAATTATGCCTTTTAAAATTGTTCGTATCTGTCACCATGTTATGTTGGTTGTAGATGTGTAACTTGCATATGTATTGTGTATATTCTATGTGTTAGGCTCAAGTGTCCAATGTAACCCCTGGAACATCATACACTGTGACGGTCAATGCGGTGGCCTCGTCAGGGTTCAGCTCACCTGTCAGCCGAATACTCGTCACCACTACTGAATCCTGTAAGTCTGTGTGTTCCGTTCTTAAACCACTATTCCCTTATATACATTCCTCTAGACTTCCTCCTGAGATTTTTAGCTGTTTTTGCTTGTCAAGTAAAAAGTGTTAAATTATTTTCATAGACATACAACACTCTTTAAAATAAAGGCTCCAAAAGGGGGTTTTCACAGTGTTGCCATAGAAGAACCATTATGGTCCCCAAATCACCTTTCAGTGAGCAGTTCTAAAAAGAACCATTTTTTCTTAGTGTGAAGAACATTCGAATAATCTAAAGAATGTTTTTTCCATTATAAAGAGCAATCGAAAGATTCCATGGATATTAAAAGTTCTAGAAAATGTTATGCTATAATAGTTTTCTTTGCAGTACCATGCAAATACCATGGTACATGAATACAACAATCATGCAGTACTGTTATACATAAAAGCACCATCTGATATCATCTCTGTACTACTGTATTGTTTTGTAAGCGTAGAACCAGTGACGAAAATTGAAAGGCGAAACCCTTTGAGATGTTGTACATGAATCCAAATGCATTTTGTTTAATTTGAAATGTGTGTGTGTGTGTATATTTATGTTTGCATAATTGATGCTGATTCCAGTTAGCAGGCTTTGATAGGTCGGTATCAGATTCCCAGGGTGCTGTTTGCCCGTCCCTCTGAGAATGGCATGGTCGGGTCACGCTTTCTGGTGGCTTTATATTGTTCCTCTCCTAAATGGCTAACACCTCCACAACAACGGAGAGCTGTTAGCGAGCCAAACGCCTTCTAAAAGACCTCTAAATTTGATAATGACCTGGATGATACTAAATCTAGGCCAGAGCAACAATATCCGTTCTGCTTCATTGCAGAAGAATGGCAATATAATAAATGCAAGAAGTGACAATGAATTCAAATGAATTGTGTGTAAAAACTACAGAAAATAATTGCTGTAATTAACCAATTAGATTCAAGTATTCAATAAAGCTGACATAGTTAAGTAGGATAACATACTGAATGCATTAAAAAATGCTTAAATTAATTCATTATTTGTGTTTTATCTATGTGTATGCAGTACCTGCGGCCCCCTCTAAGCCAGAAGGTGAGCGGGTCGGTTCCAATGGGATCCTGCTGTCCTGGCGGATGCCAGTGCCTCTCGACCCCTCAATTCACTCATTTGTCATCAGATACAAGGAAATGTGTCCATATCCCGACCCTACCTTCACTGAGGTCACCAAGAGCCTGGATATCCCAGAAACCCTGCTGAACACACTCACCCCTGGAGCTACATACAACATCAAGGTGCACGCTTGAGGCTTCACACATTTCAGTTGTTTATTTGATAGCAAAAATGAGAGAAAAGCTAAAAAAATACATAATTCTTTATGTACACAAATCTGTGCCCACAGCATAGATTTTCAGATATAATAGGAACAGAATATCAAGCTTCCTAGAGGGTGTGCATAACACATTTGACTACAATATGTTTTTATGGAAATGTTTTTAGGAAAACGTGAAAAGGAACTAAAGTATAATAACTTTCGCAAAGCTGCATCATATTACATTGGAACTATTATGAACTACCGTTTAAAAAATTGGAATTAAGATTTTTGTAATGTTTTTGTCTCTTATGCTCAGCAAGTCTGCGTTTATTTGATCAAAAGTACAGTAAAAACAGTAATATTGTGAAATACGATAACAATTTCAAAGAATTGTTTTCTATTTGAATATATTTTAATATGTAATTTATTCTTGTGATGGCAAAGCTGAATTTTCAGTCTTCAGTGTCACATGATCTTTCAGAAATCATTCTAATAGGGTGATTTACTGCTCAAGAAACATTTCTTATAATTATCAACGTTAAAAACAGTTGTGCGGCCTAATATTTTTGTGGAAACTGTATTTTTTTCAGGATTCTTTGATGAATAGGAAGTTCAAAAGAAAAGCATTTTTGTAATATAAATACTCTGTAACATTATAAAGGTCTTTACTGTCACTTCTGATCGATATAATGCATCCTTGCTGAATAAAAGTATATATTTCTTGGAGAAAAAAAAATGTAATTAATTAATTAACTGTCCCCAAGTTTTTGAATGGTAGTGTATATTTAAAACAACAGAACTACAAATGCACAAAAGCTATAAATTATTAAAATAATAATGCCAGCGAGCATGGTTGTAATAAGGATAATTTTGCTCAAGGAGAAAAACACTTGAGGTTGAAGCACTTGAAGTGAAAAGATACTTCAGTGGATAGTTTAAAAATGCCACAAAAAAGCATCCTCAAAAAGTGCTTTTAATCATGGCAGGTCTGCCTCATTGAATACTTGTAACCTGCTATGAAGAGCACAAAACCCAGACTGAGTAAACATGGGTTTTCTCATAATATGCTCATATTACAAGGCAGATGTGTCCTAGTACACACTATTAACAAATTCAGATGTGACGTCATGAGAAATGCGCTTCTTAAAGACTCCCAGTGAGAAATTCTAGAGATTTCCGATTTCTTTCCAACTCTAAAGAACTCCAGGCTTCTTATTGAGGAATGGTGCAATATCACACAGTTCAAGAGCTGAACTACATTATTCCCCAAAGAAACGAAGCTCTTCGAAAGGCAAAAACATGACCTGCTCCTTATTAAGTGCATGGAAATTAACACATTTATAGATGTTACTGATATTCTATCCAGCCCATGTGTATCTGAGATGTTAGATTCTCCTTTATTTCCCTTTTAAGTGTTTTGCGGTGGTCATTGTGGTGTATTGTTGTGTCACCTCTAATGAAACAGCAGCCAGTAAAAACTTTTCTGAAAATGCTTTTTAACTCTGTAGGGAAGGTCCAGCGTTCAGCAGACACTACTGGATTAACTGTCCACGGGAAAGTTGCCAGTGGCCTCTATTCCATTGATCCCACTCAATAATTTATCAGCTGTGAATTATTCATCTCCTACAGAGAACTCTGGATCCACGAGGGATCTCTGTTTTCCCTCATTTGTCTCGTGAATTCATTGGCTGGGTACACCGTGAACTCTGAATTGACTCTCTGAGCTTTTGTGTGAGCGTGTGTTTGTACATGTGACAGTATTTGATGGATCTGTTGTCTGGAGTAGATCATCTTGCATCGGAATCTTCATTCACAGTGTTTATATAACCACCTCTGCTAAGTCATGGTGATAAATCGGGAAGTCGTGGCCTAATGGTTAGAGAGTCGGACTTGTAACCCAAAGGTTGCGGGTTCGAGTCTCGTACCGGCAGGGATTGTAGGTGGGGGGAGTGAATGTACAGCGCTCTCTTCCACCTTCAATACCACGACTGAGGTGCCCTTGAGCAAGGCACCGAACCCCCAACTGCTCCCCGGGCGCCGCAGCAAAAATGGCTGCCCACTGCTCCGGGTGTGTGTTCACTGCTGTGTGTGTGCACTTTGGATGGGATAAATTCAGAGCACTAATTCCGAGTATGGGTAACCATACTTGGCCACATGTCACGTCACTTTTTTTTTTAAATCAAGCAGACGCTCTTATGCTGCGTGCGTTTGGCTACAGTATATTGCTTTTTAAAAGCTTTTCTTCTGTCTTTTCTCTACAGGTTGCAGCAGTAAACAAAGCAGGAATTGGACCTTTTAGCCAGTCTCTGTACTACAAAACTGCAGAGGCCCGTAAGCAATATCTATATATTTAACATAAGCTTTTTGCGAAGTCTTAGTGAGCCTCTTTGTTGTCTTCAAAGGCAGCATCTTGAGTAACTGATTCAAAATGCTCTTCATGGACAGCAACTTTGTTAATGGTCACTCACTCATGTGTAAAACATGAATAGCACTCCTCCTGTGAAGCGCATTTTGATACGCTAATAAGCACAGAAATACACAAAACACACCAGTTTTGGGTGAAATTGTACATTTTAATTAAATGGAACATTTTTAGTAAAAAATTAAATATATTTTATAATTGACATTTCCCTCAATTGTGATGTAATCCTCATTAAAATATTCTCTGAACTCATCACAATGAATTGTGGTATTTGTCACAAAAATATTAAGCAACTATTTTCAACAGTGATAATAAGAAATGTTTCTTGAGCAGCAAATCATCGTATTAGAATTTCTGAAGGATCATGTGACACTAAAAACTGGAGTAATGATGCTGAAAATTCAGCTTTGATCACATGAATAAATTACACTTTATTAAATTGTAATAATATTTCACAATATTACTGTTTTTACTGTATGTCTGATTAAATAAATGCAGCCTTGGTGAGCATTAGAGACATTCAAAAATCTTACCGACCCCAAATTTCTGAATGGTAGGGTATATGCTAGCAAAGATTTTCTGCATATGTTGCCTAAAAGTGATGCCTGCTGTAAGTGGGGATGTATGTATTGTATGAAAATACATTGTATGATTAGTGTGTGTGTGTATGTGTTCTGATCAATCTCGCAGCCCCTGGTCTGGTGTCAAACCTCACAGCGTTTGCTGAGGATCACACGTCAGTGTTAGTGACATGGTTTCTCCCCGTACGCATTAATGGTCTCATCACTAAGTTTGCAGTAAAAGTGAAACATGCTCGAACAGGCCAGACCGTCCGTACGCTGGAGCTCAACGCAGAGGACATCATGAACGGAGCCCTGCCTCACTGCAACGTACGTTTGTACTTGCATTAATTAATATTTGAAGTGATACAGGACAGCTGAGCCAAATTCAAATCGCAGTGGTATATGCATCGATCTACCAATCTTTACAATTAGTTTCGGAGTGTTTATGTGCATGCATGTGTCTTCTAGGATGCAGCAGACATCTTATCTCGTGGAACTCCAAGCCCGTCTGAGTCTTTCCAGTTGACCTCTGCTGTGTTGCCCACTGTTACGCTCTCAGCCGTACCTCCCGCCTCCATCTGGAGTGTTCCAATTAGTGTGAAGATTGATGAGCTCCGCCCCTACACTCCCTACGTGTTTGAAGTCTCCGCCTTCACCAGTGATGGGGAGGGACAGATCGCCAGCACTATGGTCCGCATGCCAGAGGCTGGTATGCTATCACACATACACACTCTTAATTCTCAAATACTGTATATCTACACTACTGTTCACTAGTTTATCAGTAATACTTTACTGTATGTATAATGCATTATAAAGGTATTCATAGTGTATGTTGTAATTCATTATATCTTTTCATAAATAATTGTAACCAAAATTAAAATGCATTATAATATTTTCAGATTCTTTGTTATATCTGAAATGGGTTGTTTGTGATGTGTTTTAATGCATTATACTTTCTAAAGGTGTAAAAATAAATGGATAAGTATTATAATTGGTTACAATTATTTATGAGATCATACAATGCATTATAAGGTGCATTAAGGCATAATTAATGCATTGTATACTACTGTTATAATACTTTTATGATGCATTATGTTTAAAGGCTTCTAGTAAAGTGGTTTTTACTGATTTTTTTTGTGGAAAGAAATTAATGCTTTTATTAAATGGATCAGAAGTTCTATAAAAATATATTGGAATTAGCATATAAGAAAGATTTCTAAAGGATCATGTGACACTAAAGATTGGACTAATGGCTGCTAAACATTCAGCTTTGCATCACAGAAATAAATTACATTTTAAAATGAATAAAAAAAACAAAGCAGTTATTTTAAATTGTATACAATCGTATAAAAATTATGTACGTAGAAAATCCTAATTCTATTCAAAAGACTATTTTACTTAAATGTCTCTGATGTGTTATTGCATGATTATTTAATACATGTTGCAAATGTGTTTTCATAATTTTTTATAATAATATCTGGAATTATAGCAATAGGACACATATCTTATTTTAATAATCACAATTTTCACTGTAATACATGATCTCAAGTTTTAAAAAATTTAAAAAAAAAAAAATAATAATAATAATAATTATGTGTGTTGCAGCCCCTGAAGACCCACCACAAAGCGTAGTTTTCAGAAACATCACTTCTAAATCTCTGTCTCTATCTTGGGACCCTCCAAAGATCACCACAGGACGGTTCAGTTACGTCATCCAGCTCCACAGCTCTGAAGGTAACACTTGCTAACGCCCCTTGGCCATCAAACCAATACCTTTACGATTCATATTATCCGACAGACACCACACTGTGACAGGAGCTTTACATGACACCAACCAGTTAGTATATGAAGCTGTGTGGCCTTGCGTTTAGCACACATGCTCCTGACATGCTCTAGACTACTTAATGCAAAGCACATCCTTTAATAGTTGTTTACTAATGCGGTACATGTATGTGTGTATTTCAGGGTTTATTAGTGAGAACAGCACAATCGAACAGGCGTTTATGTACACTGGACTGACTCCATACACACAATACTACATCCATGTGATGGCCAAATCAGCAGGGGCCACAGGACCGGCAGCAGTGATCAACATTACAACACTAGCAGAAGGTAAAATACATATACACACACAAATTTACTAGCTAATGAAGGCTTACCGTGACGTCTTTCTTACCCCTACCCAAATCTTAACCTCATAAAAGAGAACATTTTGCATTTCTAAGTTAAAAAAAATAGTATTTTTTATTAATTTATTTTACTGAGAATGTCCCCTTTTTTTTAATCAGATTTAGCCAACTTCTGAGGACAAAATTTGTTTCTTTACTATAGATAGTAAAGAAACAACCTGTGAAATGTTATTTGCACCCTGATTTTGTCTTTCATTGAGTTTAATTTTCAGTTGATATTTCAGTTGATATTTCAATATAGTGAACCTGAGTCAGTATAGCATATACTTCAGCTGATTTTATTCAATGAAGACTGTCAAATAATAATTAAGTTAAACAAAACCCACATTCCCTGTATGAAAATATTATTGCCTCATACACAATAACCACTAAACCACATTTAGCTGTGCTGACTGGAACATAAAGAAGCACTGAATCACTTTAGATACTACTGATGTGCAATTGCTTTTTTTTTTTTTCTGCATGACCCAGCTACACTTTAGTTGTGGTTCATGGATGAATTGCCACAAATGTATATTCTGCTACAGTGGAGAATTAATGGTTCACTTGACCTCCACCATGATTGATCGTTGGTGTCATGTGTTTTCTTAAACTGTGTCTGCTTGTGTATGCTTGATAGTGACATATTGGGAGCCACGTCATACAAAACAATTCAATTTTTGATTCATCTGTTTGGAGAATGTGAACAATGTGAATGTGTAAGTGTTTGCGACTTCTGTAAGTGTTCAGACTCAGGGGTCAAAATAAGTGAGAGTTATAAATTAGGTTTATATTTAGCTGTTCTGGGTGTAATTAAGTCTGTCTGCGAAATCAGCTATCTCTAATTATACCTTTAATTGGGTTAATTTAGCTGGAGGAAAATAATTTTTCATACACAGCCTGTTGGCGCTGAATAAGAAAATGCTTATTAAATGTGTGGAAAAACTAGACTTTAAAGGTTATTTGTTCACTTAGGGTTGCTTTTATCTAAAATTAGATTTTGGTTCAAGGCCTCAAAGCATCCAATGCTATGATAAATAAAAGGCTGCATTTTTCTCAGCATTGGATTGTAGAAATGGGAAAATATATCGGCTGTTCCCATGGACATTAATAATCCAACCCAGACTTTACATGTATATACACTACCATTCAAAATATTTTTTTAAAGAAATTAATACTTTGATTTAGCTAGGATACACTAAAGTGATCAAAAGTGACAATAAAGACATTTATATTTATTTTTATTATGAATAAATTTGCATGACTTTTCTAGTCGTTTGTGATTTAAAGCACTCTTTAATAATTTTTTGCGCTTAATTTTATTTTAAAGCACATTCTTTTTTTAAGTAATTAAGTTGGCTTGAGAAAGCCAACTTACTGAAATCCGACTTAAACTTAGTTATTATTATTCTTCCGAGTCTAACATTTCTGACTCCGATTTCTCCTAGAGCTTTAACTCTACAAACTCCAAACTCAGCCCAGCTCTTCAGACTGATCTCACTTAGTGTGCTATATCTTTTCTAACTGATACGACTTACAGTTTTCATAAAAATGAAGATTAAAAATCATAAAAATCTCATAGACTTACATTGACGGAATGTTCAGATGAGCCAAGACTATTCAAACTCCAACTGTCAAAATTTAAATCTAAACACTCTGAAGCCCATTATACTGAATGGACCCTTTTCACAAGACTGTGATGACACGTTTAATGGTCATCAGCATCGTAAATCCTTGAAAGTTTTTCATATTTGTATTTTTTTTTTAAATGTATCTACATTTATAACACTGTTCTTTGTATTATATCACCTTTGCATCAAATTACAAAAAAACAGTTAACGCTAATGCGAGGGTGTTACACTGTTCTATTATATCACCTTTGCATCAAATTACAAAAAAACAGTTAACGCTAATGCGAGGGTGTTTCTAATGCAGCGTCAATGGGAGGGACGGTAAATTTGACATCGTTCTCTCTTCTGACAACCGTTAACAATCTCTCTCAATTTTTTTCCTTTTATTGAAATTCATGAAAACACTACTTTTCTTTTGCTATTTGAGCAAATGGGAATGCAAAAAATATATTTGTGGTACTCTCCCATTCACTGCTATTCAAGTTAACCCAACTATGACGACTTCCGCTGCTGAGAAACCCGGAAATGTGAAAAAGGTCCATCAGACTTCCATTCTATGTACTATTTCTAAGCCATTTAAACTCATTCAAACTTATCTATCTAATATTTCTTATCATCTATCTATCTATCTATCAGCAACATGATAGCAACATGCTAATCATGCTAGACACATGCTAGCAACAGGTTAATCATGCTAGCAACATGCTAGTAACTTGCTAAGCATGCTAGCAACATGCTAGTGACATGCTAATCACGCTAGAAACATGCTAGTGACATGTTAGTAGCTTGCTAATCATGCCAGCAACATGCTAGTAATGTTAATCATGCTAGAATCGTGCTAGTAACTTGCTAGTCATGCTAGAATCATGCTAGCAACATGCTAGTAACATGCTAATCATGCTAGCAACATGCTAGTAACTTGCTAATCATGCTAGAATCGTGCTAGTAACATACTAGTAACCATAGATATGTATAGATGCCCCATTCGACGGCTCCAGGCAGGCACGTAGATGCGGCCGCCATCTTGGAACGGTCAATTTGACGTCATTCACCATTCAGTAGGTTCTCACAGAGCCGTTGAGCTGTTCTGTGCAGGATTGTGGCATCTTTCGAATATTCAGTGATTACTATGGTGAATGACGTCAAGTTGACCGTTACAATATGGCGGATGGCTTACGTATAGGGGCCCATAGAAACAGTCACTAATGAGGCATCTACGTATATATATCTTTTACTTTACTTTACTTTTAGTCATTTAGCAGACGCTTTTATCCAAAGCGACTTACAAATAAGAAAAAGTAATTAAAACTAAAAGCTAAAACTCTATAAATACTATATATATATATACACACACATTTAAGAAAATAAAAGAAATTAAATAAAAATGACAAATGCATACAACAACACTTCAAAACTAAAACATTTAAATTTAAATTTAGCATTTAAAATACGTTTTTGGATGTGTGCGGACCTTCTCTTTTGCACATGCAACGTTTCACTAGTTTGCTCCCTTGATGCCTGCCCTCAGTGCTCTCTAAATGCCAACAGCTCGCTTGCTCAACACAACCCAGCATTACAATATGCCA